CAGCACAGTAGCATGCAGCACAGTAGCATGCAGCACAATAATATGTATTATAGTAGTATCTATAGTAGTATCACAGTAGTATACAACACAGCAGTGTGCAACATGTAATATGCAACATAGTAGTATGCAACACACTAATATGCAATACAGTAGTATTTAATAGAGTAGTATGCAGTCCAGTAGTTTGTATGTAATACAGTAGTATGTAGCTCAGTAGTATGTATCACAGTGGTATGTAATACAGTAGTCTGCAGCCCAGTAGTATGTAAAACAGTAGTATGTAATACAGTAGCATGCAGCCCAGAAGTATGTAACCCAGTAGTAAGTAATACAGTAATATGCATCCCAGTAGAATGTAACCCAGTAGTAGTAATAGATGGCAATTGCAGCATGTATAACTTCGTTTAAGTATGTTGCTGAAGTAAGCTGAGTTTCTCCCATGTGGGAGAAGTAAACAAACTGGCCGGTAATGAGGAGACCTTGTATGGTCTCTGGCTGTTGCGTCCGAGTGTCTAACTTCCGGCCCCCTACCCATATCGGACCATTAGCGTGTGGCAGAGGGTGAGGGGACCGTAACCCTGCTAAAACTTACAATTTTTGCGCACGCCGAGCGTGTGGCAAAGCAGCAACTTGATTGCCAACCGTGAGCGCACAGACCGTGAACTGGAAGTGACAGGATTGTGGCCAGGAAGACACCGGAAGTGATGCCTGCCGAACGTCAAAATCCACGGTTATGCAGGTAGAGGGGGGAGTGCTTAAATAGGACCAACGTGCCCCTCCCATAACTCCAGGCAAGCCTTTACATATATATATATATATATAACAAGCTAACTGAAATTTACCCAAACAGGACACAAAGCGTAACATGAGACAATTTGGCCCTGCATTACGGTGAGCCAGGGTACAGCTCGCACACTCCTATTGTACACCTATGGTAGGAGTTTGTCTCTAATCAAATATTTTGTAAAAGACGTGTGCCACACTGAAATGTTGAATCTTTGAGTCATTATTTTTACTTAAGGCAAGGTCAGAGGAGACATATAACACATCTCACAGTATGGCAGAAACCTCAAGTAATACACAGTTTAGGGTTTCATATTCCTGTCTGGAGACTCACTAATTAAATGCAGCATTTCCTTGATGTGTGTGAATAATTTTAATTCCTTACATCTATATTTGAAATAAAGATTTACATTCATTTTTGTTTAAAACTTCCTGGTGCCAAATTTGCACTTTTACAAACTTTTTTTTCCTATAATTTAATATTTGTCTGGATCAATGACATTGGGGATCTTGGGCTTTTAATACCATTAAGTAATATATTTTCCAGGTTATGTATTAAGTCATTCCTTCTTCTCTGAGTTTTACTTGAGAGTCTGCCCAGAAAGCTTACACTTCACTGCAATTCCTGCTTCCTCTTTCATACAGTCATTTAACCCTTTGGCACATGAAATCACTGCTGTGAACTGGAAAAGCCCTTATTCTGCACACTGCATGAAGACTTGGAAGATGTAAAGAGTGGATTTATAGTGACTCTTGGCAAGTAGCGTCTTTTCTTTTCTAGGCTCAGTTACGATTATTAGGTGTTTCGATAAAAAAAAACAACTTTTCCAAAAGACGAGACATGCTGTGCTTAACTTCTCAAAAATCTCACGAGGGACCTTATCATCTAAGCTATTCCTAACCTGTAGCTTGCACCTTAAGACTGTGTGTAACATACTGTATATTGGAACAAAATTTAACTAACATGACAATGCCAGGCAAGAGAACTATTCCCAGATGGTGCCAAAACCAAGTGAAGGCCATGACAAAGAGCTCTTAGGACCACCCTCATAGTTCACACACTTATATCAGTACAATAATTATATAGGATCTGTGGACTGTGTACCACAATGGACTATTACAACATTTATAAAAAATATAATATAAAAAATAGGTTTAGTAATTGGTTTATTTGAGAAACAATAGATATAATTGCACAACTGCTCTCTTTTGAAATATGGATCTCAGACGAAACTTTGAAGAAAGCTCACTTTGTCCTTCTTCTCAGATTGGACAGGATACAATACAAATGAGTCATCCAACCTTTCAGATCTTTCACATAACTTTTATCAGGACAAATAACAAGTACTTAAATAAGTACAACACATAAATCGAGGGCATTTTAGTGATTGATTAAATAAGTTTCGAGCGTGCATGACATGTAAATACGGTGCTCACCCAGCTTGACATGCAAGCTACATAGATTTAGCCATGTAATGAGAGTGAATACCTCTAAATCCATGTGACCACAGATCCATCAGAGCCAACAGAAAAGTGGGGATATTAAGCAACAAACTTGCCACACTGTGTAAGTGACTAAGAATGACTACTCTATTAAAATATTGGAATAAGCAAAATTATCATTGCTATTATTACAACCAAGCTGTGGGATGCTAACTATTGGACTAATATAGATATTGCAGTGAATTTAATATTAACAAAAATATTAGCAAAATAAATAAAAATAACATGGAATCCAAACAAGGTGCTAGCATGGAGCAAACAAATCACCTAAAAAGGGGGACAAGAGAGCAGATAAAAAGTGGGTTAACTATAATCAGGCTTAACGTTCTGCTAAGAAGTAATGAAGCAAAATATTCTCATTCAGACCTTAAGGGAACAAGCACTCAACTGTGTATATTCAGTGACTTTCACTCATACCAGCTCCAGAGAATGGGTGTCTCTTGAGTGAGATTTAGATACATGCTCAATGAGAAGGACTCTCGCCAATAGAATGCATGCCCCTGTACAAAGTGTCAGGCAACTGACTTATCTAAATTTACCTTTCTTTATTGCCAGTCTGATTAACGAACAATGTTCCCGTATTCATTCCCTTAACTTATTACCCTTTTTCCAATGTAGATCGACACAATGGCAGCCTATGCATGCACATGATCCAAGATTGCCCAAGACTAGTGGGCAACAGTCAATATTTGCAGCTGATGCCATTATATTTAGCACCTCTCCTGTTAGTGAAATATAGGATAACATACATTTTACTAAAAGAAGAGCCTTTTAAAATGGGCTAAATAAGTGTTAATGGTGATAAATTAAAATGGTTACAGCTATAAAATATCAACTGTTGCCTGGGAGTTTAACACACACTAATCAGAGGCAAACTGGTTAAATTGCTGCCCTGGCATTAGCGGTCTCCACGTGGCATGGTGTCAATTAATTTGCAGACAATGATACCCTGATGACGTCATCTGTATTGATACCGTGCACATTTCCTGTTTCCCATTTCAATGTCCAGTTTTACAAACAACAACCAGGAAGGCTGTGGATTTAGGCATGCCTGTATTCATTCTGCACATCCTTTGTCACTTTACGTAAGAGTTGTATTGCTTATTTAAAAAAAATCAGATATTGCTTTGCGTCATTTATTCTCTCTGATATGGAAAATATTCAGGTGTGATGTCAGTCATTTTGGGTGAGATTAGTTCGTTTTTTTTTCTTTACCTAGAACTTTGTATATAAGGCTCAGCATTGAGTGGTTTGCTCCTTTATTGAAAGTTGTGAATTTAAAGGACCACTATAGGCACCCAGACCACTTCAGCTTAAAGAAGTGGTCTGGGTGCCAGGTCAATCTAGGATTAACCCTGCAGCTGTAAACATAGCAGTTTACATTAGGGTTAATCCATGCTCTAGTGGTTGTCTCATTGACAGCCGCTAGAGGCGCTTCCGCACTTCTCACTGTGAAATTGAGAAATGCTTTCCTATGCACTGATTGAATGCGCGCACACATTCGGCGGATGAGGTTGGAAGAGGAAGGAGAGTCCCAAGTGCCGAGGGAGCCCGGCACTGGAGAAAGGTTAGAATTTAACCCCTTCCTCCCCCTTCAGCCCTGAGGGTGGAGGGGACCCAAAGACCCTATAGTGCCAGGAAAACGAGTTTGTTTTCCTGGCACTGTAGTGGTCCTTTAACAAAATAACTAAGTTTGGAAAACAAACAAAACTAGGAAATAAATGTCAGAACTTCACCACCTACAATAGGGAAATAAGAAGACGGGAAAAAGTCGGACTCAGAATAGGAAAGGGAGAAACAATAGGGCTGAAAGAGAAGCAATGTGCAAATATGAGCTGTTTATAAAGAAGGTGATGTTATAATATTTTTTTTATTTTTTTATGAATGTTCTGTGTGTTCATTGAATTTTATGGCAAGACAGGAGGCTTCATATTTGCTTTACTTTCTTTACTGTAACTCCCAGCAGCAAAGAAACAGTTAACAGCAAGTAAAAAATGTAACCAATCAGAGTGTGTAATAGAGTATGTGCAGTCATCAGGCTCCTTCCAACTCCTCTTTCTTTGCTGCTTAGCCTCCCAGGTGAGTCTATTCCAATTACAGTCTGTAATCAATCTACATATATATATATTAACATGGCTTAATTTATTTTACTTCTACTTCACTTACATATCTATAATGTTTTTGTAGTCATATTACTTAATTATCTAGACTAACAGGAGGTTTTCCCTCCTTTTAGGTTTACTCTTTCCTTAACTACAAACCGCCTTCTGCAACCCCTTCTATACGGTCAGAGCCATGCCAGTAATCTGATCGTGGCTTCTGGCCTGCAGCCAACCACGGGCGCTCTCACTGCCTGCATCACCGTGATCATTCCTCCTACCATCACCATAGCGACGTGTCCATCCTCCCGCGGCCAATTTTTCCCCTCTGCATTTTCAAGGGCTTTTTCCCGCGCTTTAGCCTTCACCATTCTGGAACATATATATTTCTTGTGGTGACCCCACTTTACCTCAATTATGTCCGATTTGCCTGAACCAGCAGTCTCTGCAGAACTCAAAGCTTGTATAATGCCATTGCGGACTCCATTCCAAAATCTTTAGCAGCTTTCCACGACCAGTCAAGGTCCACCTCTAGGGCTCTTATTGTACATCTGTCAGACTCGGAAGAGTCAAAAGGCTCAGACCCCCCCAGATCAAATAGCTAAATTCTGCAGGATGTGGCTTTGTAAGCCTTTAAAAAAGGAAGTGAGAGCTAAGTTAAGAGCAGAATGCCCACGACCTTTTATCACAGACAAGGTGGCTGTTACCCCAGAATTTGATCCCTTGCTCATCACCTTCCTATATAAGACGGGAAAAGATCCCCGTAAGGATTTGGAACAAGGCCTGAAAGCAACTCAGGATAAAATGATGGATATGGCGGGACCGCTTATCCAAATATTCAGTATTGCAGATGAGGCTTTGGCAGGTGGCACTCTAAATGCACACATGGTGCAAATATGGGCACAGAGGGCACTATGCCTACTTGGCAACGCCAATGTAGCCATGGCAACTGAAAGGCGGAAAGCCGTCCTATACAAAATTGACTCAGAATTAGGCACTAAAGAGCTTGGCCCTGAGGCACAAGGCATGCTTCAACTTTTAGAGCACTGGAACTCGGGCAAAAATACGTTTCCACCACAAGCACTTCTTCCCCTCTCGTAGCTCTATTAGAGGACGTGGATCTGCTACAGGTAATGGACTCTCATTTTTCTCATGTACCTATAGCAGGCCAATTAATCAATTTTTCCCAACAGTGGTCTCGACTCACAGAGGACCCGTTGATCCTTCAGACCGTGTCCGGCTTCCACCTAGAATTTACAGCGGACCCAGTTCAAATGTCCTTGCCTAACCCCCTCAGGATGTCTCAAATAGACGACATGTCCCTTCAAGTCGAATTCAACGACCTAGTCACCAAGGGTGCCATCGAACAATCCCTGCCAAGGGTGCCATCGAGGTTTCGTGAGCAACATGTTTCTAGTCAAGAAAAAGTTGGGAGAATTCTGACCAGTCATCAATCTAAGAGAACTGAACAAATTCATCAAAAACAGACACTTCAAGATGGAAGGCATCCATCTATTATGAGACCTCCTCTGCTAAGGAGATTGGTTCTCCCGCTTCAACCTCAAAGACGCATACCTTACGGTACCAGTCACGCCAGAACACTCCACCTTCCTCCAATTCAATTGGCGCAAAACACTATGGCAGTTTACCCGTCTCCCCTTCGGACTGTGCTCCGCACCTTGGTGTTTCACCAAACTAATGAAATCGGTGATGGCACTACTCCGCTCACAAGGAATTCGGTTCATCATATACTTGGATGATATCCTTCTTATAGCTCAAGACGAGGAGACTCTACGTCTCCATACAGATATGACTTCGGCTCTCCTCCAGAATTTGAGTTTGTCATCAACCTCCAAAAATCATCTCTAACTCCGTCTCAGATGGTACAGTTTCTGGGATTTCAGATAGATTCAGTTCAGGCAGTCCTACAACTCCCTGCTGCGAAAATCAAAACCATAAAAAAGGACATACGGAGATTGTTGGTCTCACAATTTCTCTGCCTTAGGGATTTAGCCCACACAATCGGATTACTCTCCGCCTCAATCCAGGCAATATTTCCAGCCTCATTACACTACCGGGCAATGCAACGTTTGAAAACACGTTACTTACATTGCTCAACACCTTATGACCAACTGATTCTTATCACAGACGAAGTCCAATTGGAACTCCACTGGTGGCTTCAACATATGGAAGCCTGGAACGGAAGGGCCATCTTCGACTGGCAACCCGATTTCATTCTGGAATCAGATGCCAGTCTCCTCGGATGGGGTGCAACCTGCTCGGAATGCTCTACCGGAGGCCTCAGGTCCCCAACAGAACGGGCACTACACATCAATTGTCTCGAGCTAATTGCTAGTTTTTCGCGATCCGCAGCTTTGCCAAAGAAGCCTACAACTACAACCTTATCCTGAGAATGGACAATGTTTCAGCAGTACAATATGTGAACCCCCTGGGTGGCTCCTGATCAAAGATGCTATCGGATCTGACAAAGGAATTGTACCAATTCTGCTTGGACAGGAATATCACACTTTGGGCAGAATACCTCCCAGGCTCCGACAACCTCATCGCAGATTGGTTTTCCCGTCATTGCAGGGACTCCAGCGATTGGCAACTGGACCCACAAATATTCCACTATCTACAGACCCTGAGAGGACCACTCAACCTGGACCTGTTTGCATCCCACTTGAACCGTCAGACGGACGCATTCTTCAGCTGGTTTCCAGACCCATTGTGCCTGGCAGTGAATGCTTTCCTCCAACTGTGGCCAACCATCGGAGCATATGCCTTCCCCCCCTGTTCTCCATGATTCCACACACAATACAATATCTCAGGACACAAGGTGTCACGATAACACTGGTGACCCCGTTATGGCGAACCCAACCATGGTTCCCCTATCTCCTGGAAATGTCAGCAGACTATCCCCTAGTCCTACCCATTTCCTACGACCTTCTCAAGGATCCTTCAGGCAACTTCCATCCACTAGCAATACAAGGCCATCTTCAATTGGTGGCCTGGACCATTTCAGGGGATCCTGGAACATCTCTGGCCTTTTGACTACTGCTTAAGGACTCCTATGGGATTCTTGGGCCCCAGGAACAAGACGGTCCTACTTCTCGGCATGACAACGTTGGAATAGCTAGTGTTTGGAGAGTGACATTGATCGCTTTTCAGCCTCTTTAATTAACATCATGAACTTCCTGTCATCACTTTTCGAACAGGGTAAGTCTTATAAGTCGATTAATGTCTTTCCATCTCGGCAGCCCATAACCCTATTGACAACTCCACAGTTGGCAAACAATCCTCCATATGTAGACTCTTGCGGGGCATCCGTCTCGCAAGACCTCCAGTCCCCAGATATAATCAGTTTTGGGATGTGGCTATTGTGCTATCCTTTTTAGAGAATTGGCCTTCTAATGAAGCACTATCTCTCCGACAACTGTCGGCCAAGCTGGCACTGCTTCTCTGTTTGGTATCCTTTAGGAGGGTTTCGGACATCAGAGCATTTGACGTCCATGCCCTTGACTTTACCCCTGAGGGTGTACATTTCTCCCTTACCCGACATATTAAAACCAATTTGTCTACAGTGAACTACCCTTATTTCCAGGATAAACCCACACTCTGTGTAGCTAGTTGCGTCAGACATTACATCTTTCGCACTAACGCCCTTAGAACACAAACAGGCCCCCTACTGGTGTCTTACGTACGACCTCACAAACCAGTGTCATGTCCCACAATTGCTCATTGGATCAAGTGGCTCCTGACCCTAGCCGGCATTGACTCATGTTTTGGTGCTCACTCCGTTAGAGGCTCGGCCGCCTCTTCTGCATTTATGGCTGGGAGCTCTCTGGCGGAGATTCCACTTTCCACTTTAAAGACAAGAGGCAAATATGTTCCCACCCGTAAAGGATATGCTTCCCACCCAGCTAGGTAGGTATTTCACAACACATCTATATTTTGCTCCAACTTATTTTAGTAATCTCCTTAGTTTCTCGGCTTACTTGTTGCAAAATAGATGTTTAAGATTTGTCAGGGTATTTGGTATACACTATTGGTGGAAACATGTCTCCTAAGTTAATTAAGTGATTTGATTCTCTTATCCAAGAGACCATACATTCACAACCTCTGTCTCTTCTCTCCTAGTGTGAAGGCCCTTCATTACCTTCGCAAGAATTTTCCTTTGTTTCTTCACATTGTTTACATGGTTGATTTCGTTATGATCTACTGTTTGCGTTTACATGGTTGACTTTATGTCTGTTGGCTGCATCATCCCAAGGAGTTGGGAGGAGCCTGATGACTAGGCATACTCTGTTACACACTCTGATTGGTTAATTTTTTTACTTACTGTTAACTGTTTCTTTGCTGCTGGGAGTTACAGTAAAGAAAGTAAAGCAAATATTCGCCTCCTGTCTTTAATAAAATTTAGGTTATTCGTTCACTAAGGTTAGAATAATCCCGAATTGATAACAGTTTGATGTTGCTTTTTATTGGGTCATATTTTACTTTATTTGGATTACCATCTTATAATACAGCATCTTTTGGACTCTAAATACTGGTGCACATAAGCATCAAGAGCCACCATGTAGATGCAAAGCAGTGGCAGACAAAGATGATATCTAGTAAATGTTAAAGCTGGGTACATGTTTGGGCTACTGTTATATTATAATGTATAATATACATATTATAAAGGGCAGATGTTTGTTCCACTATGGCTTTTTTCTCAATACGTCTAGTTTGTATGTCCCCTAAATACCCATTTAGTGGACTCCTTGCAACCACTTAAAATGGACATTGCGTTAGTTGCTGAACTGGCTTATGCAGCTAATGAAGATCCACCCCCTTTTACCCAGCACTTACTTAATTGTATCTATTGTGCATTGACCAATTACATGCTTATTATAGAGAAGCAGAGAGGACAGATCTTGCATACACATGCTGAATAACTGGCCAATCCAATGCTTCACAAACAGTGAATGGAGTCTGAGCGGGACATGGGTTGTAAATAATAAAAACTCTCCCATCATTGTACAGTGAGTTTATGAACACTTATAGATAAGTGAAAAGAAGGCCCTAGTGTTCTATCCCTAATGTACCTTCAAGGGCACCCCTTAATAAAAATATTCCTCTTCCTCCCAAGTAAAAACCACTAGTTTTGCAAGCTGGCATAACAACCAGGTGACAAGCCTCCCTGATAGATAAAGGTTTATCTCACAAGGAGGGACACCAGTCAGCACCACTTCTATAATGTGGGAAACAGAATACCAGCGTTGCCACTACATTGTTAAGTAAATCTCAAACATGTCCTGGTAGAGCATGCACTTGCAAATTATTGTTAACAATACACAGAGGAGGAAGAATTGTTTTATTAAGAGGTACAATTGAAGCCCCATTATTATTAGAACACTGAGTACTTAGCCTTCGTAACACTATATGGTAAAGGTAAGCTGGTATATGCCTATCTCACATTTATTACACCTTTTAGTTATCATACATTTCGATACCAGCACTGTATCTCACACGGTTGCAAACTCCTTTTTTGGGCAATAGCTGTGGTATATTGTGGCTGTTTTGAGATACAATATCTCTTTTATCACTTCTCTCTTCTTTTATCACTGCTAAACATCTATACCAGGAGATTGGGACTTCTACCTCTGGTTTATTTATAGAAGTACAACAATTCTACTTAGTGAATACTCCCCTGATTTTGCTACAGCTAAGTGTATAACCTACCACAGTGATCACACATCTATTAATGTATTGTAACATCTGGACTTTATAACCAGTCCAGATGCTATCTAGGCGAACTCTTGTTAGGGGATTAACATTACTTTAGGAAATCCATTAGGAATATACCCTGTTTGTTCTGAATACGCTTTTTGTCTACACCAGCCAGTATTATTGGGATACATGACTAGGGATTATTCCATTTACGATATTGACACAAAGTAATAAATTGCATATACACCAGT